CGCCATGGTCTGGCTTGTGGCGCGCACAGGCCGCCACCCGAACCCGCCATGGCCTGGCCCCGCGGCACGCACAGGCCGCCACCCGAACCCGCCACCTGCGCCCGCAGGACCCACGCTGCCCGGCTCGCCCAGGGTGCAGCTGGATTACACGGCCTAATCTAAACGGATGCCTTAAGGGGTGATCCTACTCCCTCCCCCTTCCTTTCACTGTGGAACTACAACTACCCATACTTCTCTGAAAGGATATATCTTCTTAACTATCCCTGGATCTTACAGGCATCCCTAGATTTACTGAAGATTTACTACTAAAGTCTACCTTCATGATCACCCCACAAAATAAAACATATGCTAATAATGCAACATGAACAAGCATTTTATATAGTTAATGTATCTTCATTGTGCAGGTATCTGCTAATGTATCTTCAAGTGCAGGTATTTTATCTATTTATTACACTACACAAGTGATCAACAAAAAGTTAACTCATGGTATAATTCCTGTTTAACTTTTCTATCCTTCAGAAGCAAGATTTTTTTAAATTTCTACCGAAGTCTGATTAGTTTTCTTTCTCTTTTGCAATGGTTTATTTATCATGTCCTTAATTGTTTTGGTAAAACTGCCTGTGAAGCCACTGACAAATTAATTACAAAGAGTAATTTACACACAAAAATACTTTCTGTCATTAATTTAGATTGTTTCACTGATAAAGATCAAAGTGCAGCTTTGTATATAGGTGTATAAGCAAATGATCATGGTTTGCTAACTGGCTGGAGAACAAGGAACTGTGGTTACCATAAATTGACTCTGTCATGCAAAACATATGAAAACAAACTTTCAGATCAGTTGCTCTTAATCTGTACTTAGGCTTGATGTTTGATGTTTCTACCTCAAACTTGAATAAGACTTGTGTGGACAAAAGCTAGTCTTCTCCTTGCCCCCCTCTACTTATGTAAGTCTATTGGCTCTCCTTAGAAGCCTTTATCTGCCTGGAGGACGGCATAACCCTTTGCAGAGAATGAAGTACATCCTCAGAAATAAATGAAGTACATCCTCTTTTACATTTTTGAATAAACTATATACAGTTGGACCACATAAAGTGTTACAGGAAAACTGAGCGGGGATATCTGTATCAAAAATGCCATCTACACTTCTGCCAAACCCATTCCTTTCTCTGAAAAAGTCTTTAATTTGCATACAATTATTTAATTTTATCATATTTACATTTAAATATTTATATTACATTTACAGTTGCAACACTGCTTCTGTGTATTCTTTAAGTAATACTCACCTCCAAAAGGAGGGGCTCCATTTGATCCAATGTTTTTCCTAGATGCTTATCTGGATCTAAACCTGCAAAGAAACAAACAAACAAACAAAAAACCCACCACATTAAAACATGTTTTGTACAATCAAGTACTGTTTATGCATCAGGAAAGACTATCTCTATTTTTCTTTTTTTTAATTATTATTTTTTGTAAGATAACTCTCCTTTAGAAGCTATTTCCAGTATATCTAGAACCATTTTGATCCTAAAGAAAATGTACTTGACAGAATTCTCCCTTATGCCCTTTGGGCAACTGGTTTCCCCACTTGAAGAAAATGTGGCCAATTTCCTTTGCACTCTATCAACTGGAAAGTTATTGTTCTCTTTTCCTGGGCATTTCATTAACCAATAAAGTAAACAGGTCCACAGTAATAAAAGTACTCCATGGAAATTATCACTCTGTGTCAGAAGTTACCTTTGTGGTTACATTAAATTAAAATGCAGGTTAACCTTTTTTAGTTGTGAAATAAGACCCCAGTAACAAACTACTGTAACTGATATGGACTGTTTTCCCTAGTGAAAACTCTTTTGCTAAGTCGCAGTCTCCGTATGCGACACACACAATAAAGAAGAAAGGAGAAAGATATAAAGAAAGCTCATAGCTGTTGCATGGTCATTCACAGGAATAAATCAAACAATTCCAGTAATCAATATTAAAATAATATTAAAAACAAACAAAAAACAGATAGACCATAACCTTCGGCAGTCAGCATCAAATATCCTAGTTGGATTTGGGACCAAATTGTCAAATAGTCTTAACATTCAAAGTAAGAGAAAACAAAATGATGACTTCTGAAAATAAATTAACACCAGAAAATTTTCAGTGATCTCATTCTGCTACGACTCTTAATTACTACTTTTGGGGTTTGTTTGCAGTACTTTAATTCTTCCATTCTATTGTTTTATACACTACTGAGTATCACTGAAGAGCTGCCATCAGAATGGCTGTATTTAGAAACATTTTCTAAAATATTTACTTCATAGACCACTTTAGATGACTTAAAATTAAAGTCAATGTATAAATGTATGATATACACAAAGTTTTTTCCTGAACTCAAAGAGTTGATATGCCTTTTCATTTTTACAGAAATGGTCTTGGCATACTTAAATTTCTGTGAAACTAAAACAAGTGAATGAGGTTTCAAAACATTAATAATTTTTTAAAATATTTTATTGAAGCTCATTAAAAATTCCCTCACTATCTGGGGGAACACTGTAAAAGTCATTTAATAATTAAAATAATAAAAAATGAGTTTATTCCTCGCTCTGTTCCTTTTTTTAACACTGGCTTATTGGTCTTTATTAACAGGCTGAAAATTTAATCTGAATAGTGTAGATAGGATGTTGATCACTTATTCCAATGGAAATAATTTCAAAGATTTTTTTTTTCATTTCATTAGATTGTACTTTGCACTGAAAAGGAAAACTCTTTTCTTTGTTTTTTTTTTTGAATACCGAACATCTGTCATTTTCCATACTGCATAAGTGGGTCATGAGCGCAGACTTCCAACAGGTTATGTATTTTTATCTCCAAAACAATGGAACAAAAGTGTTTGTGGTACCTGCTGTCTTGTATGCCAGAGCAAAAGCCAATCTGGCCTACACTGAACACCACAAGCACTCCAGTGAAATCCTCCAAGGTACACCAGCTTAACTTTACGCCCTGGATTTTAATGGAATAGGTATTAGTCTGAACAAGTGTTTTTTTCTTAAATTGAATTATAAATAAATGAGGACCATATTACAGTGCATATTTGACAAATTTATATTAACAACCTTCATTAAGAGCATTACAACCCTTTTCCTTAATAAACACAAATTGGTTTCCTTTAAAATTAGCCCAAGGGATATATCAGAAACATGTGGCAAAGATGTTAAATCCAGACATCACATTAATTCTTTCACAAGTTTCTTCGATATTTAGAAGGACATACCTACTGTTCTGCCCTCAATGATTACAAAATAATAATTAAAAAGAAACAATTACACAAATAGCATACAAAGTTCAGATAAACTGGTTGTGTATATTTAATACTGCCCCAAACAAGATAAAAATATTGTGAGCGAAGAGAAACTGTGGATTGCTAAAGGCATCAAGAAACCAAGGTTATCTGCAATTTGCAGACTCAGTAGTCCACAACTCAAATCTCTAGTGTATGCATTTTCAGATGAAGCCATATGTCTGCTGTTACAGTCAGTATAATGAAATATTTATATCCATACTTGCGTAACAGCTAAAATAAAGCTACGCTTCTATTCAACATGTTTTTCTTTAAACAAATGAATAGATTGCTTCAGGTCGTTAAAATACCCTAGATTTTTAAGTACCATAAGTTCTTCCAACATTCTACATAACCACATCCTACAGGTTCTTCCCCCACGAATCCAGCTCTAAGAAATCTGGCTGGTTGGATAAACCAATAACAAGGCCCAGGGTCTGGAAGACTGTATGTGGAATTAAGAAATTAATTAGGAAGAAGAACTATAATTTGCAGCACTGACATCTATTTTACTTTACTTGCATGTATCAACGGAAAGCAATTACAATTCAATTAAAATACTCACTTTTATTACTTTACTGACTGACCTTGAAGTTAATGCCTGTTTTATTTAATTGCATCATCTATGAATAAATGTTAACCCTAGAATGTTATGCTCCATTATTTCTAATGCATTTTTTCAACTCTCCAACTGAATTACATCAGTCAATTTATTAAGTGCTGTCAAAAATGCAAGTGGGGCTTTATTTCTTTAAGACAGACGAGTACGTGAAGAGAGAAACATCCTGAAAGATTTGGTAACAACTGTTTTTAACACTGACCAGGAAACTGAGCCATGCTCTCATCTCTGCTTTCGCAGCCTAGAGGTTTACTGTAAAAATCACTATTCAATGGGACAAATGGTATGATCACTATGAAAAGCAATTCCTTGTCCGTTTGTAATTCCTGATATTTCCATCAAAAGGAAAAGAAAACCTTCTTGCACCAAGCCTCGGTGGCTGCAGGACAAACTGACACAGCTTCAAGACAACTACTATAAAGAACTGCAGTAACAGAAAAAGAGTGAGAAGGCATTGAGGGTTTTGTTCTGTAGTGGAAAAACGAACACACACACACATAACTTCACTAGTGTTAAGTTACAATGCAACAGAATGTGTACATTAACTGGTTCACTTTGTACACATGCACAAGGTAGCATAAGCCCTTATGTAGCGTAAGATATTTCCATACTTTGAAAAGTTCCAATGCCTTTATGCTTTGAAGAAAGGGTTTAAAATTTGGTTTAGTGGCAAAGAGGAACATTGTGAATGATATGATCTGCGCTGGTGGTAAAATCTGTGTCACTTTCACTGAATTGATCCACATGCACACAAGTTCTAAGCCTTTAAACAGTCACAGTTCACAAATGGACCAACAGAGACTTCTCAAAGAGGACATGAGTGGACTAAATGAAGAAAGTAAAAGACAGAGATAAAGTAAAGGATCAGATTAGAACAAGATATCTGGTAAAATTTCAGCTCAAAGAGGTCTGGGGAGCAAAACACCTCTGGTTTCACCTGTGCAGACACGTTTCCAAGGGTCTGAGCTCAAGCTCTGCTTCAGCACAGGAACCTGCATAGTGAATGTCAAGCAGTGTCAAGCAATATTCTAGGGTTAGATAAACACCACTTATCCCTCTTGCTTTTCATGGTATTGATTTTTGTTGTTTTGATACCTTCATTTTCCTTAGCTGTGGTTAGTCCAGTGTATCTTCGCCCAAAGCTCTCTGTTGTCACCTCCACTACACCCCTAACTTCCTTTTGACATGAAAAGCTTTTTCCGAAAATCTCATCTTCCACTTGTATCAAAGTGTACAAGCACCGTGATAAAAAGCATTCCAAATTCTTTCCTTATTTTTCCAACCTTTTAACTACCCTCTAAATCAAGACTTGACTTCACTTGGATTCCACTCCTAGCTCTCTCTTCTCACTTAGTTATTTCTTTTGCATCACAGCCTTCATGAATCCCAAGGTAATTTTAGCTGACTTCTGGTCTTGAATCAACTTCCCCATTTTTCTATGTTGATAGAAAAAAAAGGTCTGGAGTAAAAATAACTCCCGTGCTTTCTTACTTGTTCTCAAACCCTTTCCCCTTATGTCTGGTGAACGAATAGATGCAGTACCTTTTCTTTTGCTTTTACATGAATAATGTAGCTAAATAAATTAGTAGACAAAGATATTATGGAGTATGCATAAGGAAAAATAAAATAAAATTCTAAAGGAAAAAATAAGTTTTGGAAGCTTAATGTAAAGATTCAGTGACAGCAGTGTGCCTTAGCTAGAAAATAAGTATTAGAAGGGAGAAAAGAATAGTAGGAATACCAAAGTGCATGCTAAGCGTAAATTTGATTTGCCAAACTTATAAATTACAAAAAAATACAGTTATAAAAATGAATTAAAAGCTACCAGTTACATATACAAGATAATATTCTAAATGAACATTGAGAATGATTTTTCTAATAAGTTTAAGGACACTTTTTAGAATACATTATTCCTAACAGAATAGATGATCATTAAAATTTTATGGTACTGGGAAAATATTATTTGCCATTTTATGTTCGACTTAAAATTATGATAAACAAAAGAAGTGTTTTTCCTACTAATAAAAACAGACAAAATCAAGAGCAAAGGTGGCAAAAACCGTCACAGACTTCATTATAGCTTCAGTGTCTGGTAACAGCCCAAGGGAAAAACAGAAATTTTAAATAAACCAAAACACTAGTATTTAGTTTATGTCAAATGTAAAACAAGCAAACAAACTCAAAAGACAAACTTTCAAATAGCATAGAAGAAAAAAGCAGGGACCTTCTTTGATTTCTTAACATCTGTTCCTCTCCTCCATTACATTTGCTTTGTGAGCTCCTGCCTTAGGATTTTCTGAAAATATTTTGAGGAAGCAAATACATTCACTTGTAGTAATATAGAAAGTTCCTTCCTTTCATTTCCCCAATATTGATTAGGGAAGCAGCTTTTAGAAGTACTCAGTGCTAAAAAATAGGACCAAATTATCAAAGAACATGACTTCTATTCCATTGCATACATGATGTTTTCAGGTAAAACTCAAACAGCCACCAATTTTACTTCAAGACATGGTCCAGTTTAGAGCAAGTGTAGTGGGCTTTCTTCTAAGGCAGTCTGTCTCTCCATGGGACCAACAGGGAAACAGATGCTGTGGACCCTCATTGCTCCTCAAAATTTAGGCTATGATCCCTCTTTTTTTTCTAACCAAAGCTAAGCATGGAGATTGCCTAGAAGCACTCATTCAACTGGACCTAAGAGATATACGATGTAACCAAGGTGTAAGAATCACACTTCAAAACGTAGGCCGAGCACCAAAAGCTGATCAGCTCTAACACAAAGGTGAGCAGTTTTGTAGCACAACTTTTCTTCTGTGGTCTGAAAAAGGGCTAGAAGTTTGAAACACAGTTTACCACTCAGTTTTCCTTTTTCATCTTAATATTTCTATTACGTGACCTCACGATTACAACTTACTTGAGGTTTTTAATTCAAAAGTGACTCATTACTGTGCTGTAAACAAACTGAGAGAACTTGCAATGTATAAGCAAACTACTGCATATTAATCCCTTACAATCCGTTAAAACATGGCAACTTTGCCCTAATTTTCTGATTTTGATTAAAAGCATTTTTTTTTTTCAATTTCTCGAGCAAACAATAAAGACGAACATGAATCTAAAACAGTCAAATAAAAACTAGGATCTCTTAGGACAAGTTCCTTAATTGAATGATGTAAAAATAATTTAAATTATACTGACAGACTGAGTTTAGTGATATATTAAGATGTATAATTGAAGTTATATTTCAATGTTAATTCTTGACTCCACAAGATTTAGGTACCAGTAACAAGTAAAGTAAAAGTATGCAAAATTGCAAGTTCTATTTTAACTGAGGCCCATACTGTGGAGAACGCAAAGATTCCTTCCCAATGTACCCTTTACACCTAGTGCAGCAGCGCAAGCAAGTTGTTTTGAAACCCTGTACCGGTGAACCATCTTGGAAACCAATGTACGTGGTTTCCAAGATTAAAAGTTGAATCAGAGCACCAGATTCTGATGCTCTTCTGCAAGTTAATTAATATTTTAATCCATAGAATGTATTCACAGAACAAGGCTATGAAAATCAAATCTTATGATTATGCTATATTATACTGACTCACATGAACAACAGATATTACTAGATTTTCACACACCTGTATGTTAAAGGCAATCATCTATTTCAACTCTTACTAAGTAACCCCATTCTAATTTTCTCACAGTTCTAGTGAAGAGGGATTATATTTCAAATATGAAGATATTATGTATCATACAGACATCTTTAGCAGTAAAAAAGTGCCGCTAAAGATCAATATCAATATTATTTTTTATTCCTTAGTTTTGCTGTTAGATCATGGTATACTTTCCATCATTAAATCTTCTCATATACACTCTAAAAGAAAGAAGGGTGATTTACTCACGAGATCCACAGAAGGCAGGTGAAGAAGGGTTCCTATGAATATCTTTTGCATATGAGAGAGCAATTGGTATCCCATTTGACAGAGCATGCTACTCTCAGATAGAAAACTGTTGCCACTGGCAAAGTTTATGGTATTAATTTGTAGCGGTGGATTTAGGGGAAAAGTACTAACTAATGTTCACTTACTTGCATAATTATGTGTTTTCTACATAAAACAGCAAGCTTTTACCTTGCCAATATTGGCACTGAGTTAATGGAAAACAGGCCAAGGCAAGTGCACAAGTATGCCAGTGTTGATGAATGTCAAGCTCAAGTTACAGATTTGTTTCTTGCTTTAACATCTGTACAATATAGGCTCTAATGCACTGCCCTTTAGACTATTAAATCTGTTATTTTAAGTATTTTTGTTGCAGTTTAGCTTTGATTATCAATCAAAAAGGCAAAAAGTTAACCTATAGCTTCGTTTTTTTGCCACTTGATATGCTAAACAATCTTCATACCTTAAATCTGCTTTAATAAGGCATGCAATTATTAAAGCATTACAGAATGGCCCCAGAGCACATAAGCTCCATTAAATTTGCTTACATCTAATTACGTCTGCCTAAGGCAGGTGAGAAATTGACTCTGATAAGATCTTTCTTTTACCTGTAGCCAAAAAAAAAAGGAAAGATAGGGAAAAAATGAGTCTTGCAGTGATTTTCTACCTAATTGCTGTCTACAGGTATTTATGGTATTTGCTCCTTAAATGAACAGCCAACAAAGCACTCTTTGTGCATCAACTAGTGCATTTTAAGGTTTAAGCCTGTAGAATTACAAAAGACAAGCTTATCTTGCTTTCTGGATGAGTGAGGCCATCACTGATGTCTCTTCATGAAACAGTTTTATCTATCATATCATCTAAATCTTATATGTTCTTTAAAATACTTCAAATAGACTTTATCTTTACCAGATTTTGAATAATTGAAGAGAATAATTGAAAAGAAAAACAAATGAATATGTAAAACTTGATGGCAAAATAATACTGTTTGGAAAAACATGCTACCTACGTTTGTTGACACTTTTTTCTTCCTATTAACATACAATGTAAGCAAATCCTTTCTCTTTAAAGTAAAAAGATGACCCTGCAAGTCTTATTCCACTAAAAAAATATTTTGAGCTTCTTTTTCTCCTAATTTAAGAAAGAATTGCTGTGCAGTAGAACATGCAGCAATTTATTCCTCTGTACTAACAGCTAGCTTTCCCCAAAATAAAAGTATTAAAATTACAATCCTTGTAAGTGAATGATGCAACTTGGCTTTTCCAATCATTTTCTGCTTATGAGAAGGGCAAAAAATAAAACAAATTAAAGTCACGCCATGAATTCATGCATAGTCCAAAGAGCTATATTCATTTCTTGGCTAATATTTAAGTATTAACTACTTTACTATAAAGCAGGCTTTTAAAGAAGGACAGACTTTGAGAACCTAATGGGAAAGTTACACAAATAAGCTAGTCACCAGATTTCTAATGCAAAGGTACACAACAATTTAAGACACATGCCTTTAGCCATCCAAGTAGCTCGTATTATACTAGCCATTTTTGGTCTAACAAGTCAAAAAACTCCAGCGATTTCCCCCACCCCTGTCCACCACACAGTCCTTTGGTCACATTTTATACCTCATCTTAAGCCTCATCTGCTACTCTTAAATGAAAAACTACATAGAGGCCTAAAACACTATCAACACATTGATACTGAAGTATCAATACATTGTATATACTGATAACAAGTATTATGTTTCTTACATGCTTCTCAAGGCCGCAGAGCACATCATTCAACAAGCCTCTACAACTTCACTTTATCGTCAATAAAAAAAAAAAATATTAGCTTGTGCAATGATTTGCTTCATTATAAAAATCTCATTTTAAACATTTACTAATAAAAAGACACGGTGATTTTGAGCTCTGAAGTACTAAACAATTACACCGTAATACCACTCTTCAGAAAGCAACAAAGAAATATTACTCTTTACCAAACGAAAAGATTATCTTTATGCAAAATGTTTTGGTCTCCCATAATTACATCTTGTTTGATGTTAATTTGTTAGGTTTCTATTAAAACTTTCACGGTTGTTTTATAATTTTGTCTAGCCACCAGTTTGTATCATCCATAAATGACAATACTGTGAACTACTGAATTATGCATGCGTTTTTACCGAGAATCAAAACTAAACCAAAACAAAAAAATCTACTGAAGGAATTTAATGACTATGCTAGAAGAACTATGCTATTACTTCCAGCTTTTCAATATCTACACTGAGAAAAATAAGAATTACATACAGCTAAAATGATGATTCAGACATCTAGAAAAAAAAGAAAAAATATCTTTTTCATGTGTATGTTAACATTTCTTATCCTAAAATATAAAACAAAATTTCTGTTTCTCTCAGATGTGCTACGGACTTGTTCACTAGGATTTTAACACACAATACGGCTCAGAAACTGGATACATACCAAAAGCTGCCACTTTTATGATTATGGCTTGAATGTTGGATGATATCATTTCTTTAAGTAAAATTTCCTGGTTCCGGCGCCAAAGATAAGCTAACGGCTGAAGATTAAGCCTTCTGCATCTTAAAAGCAACAAAAAAAGTTGAATGAAATCCAAAACAAAGCTTTTACACAGCATAATTCATTCAAAACTAAAGAAATTTAATTTGCCTGATTTCCTACTATTTTTTCTATCATTTCAATTAAAATATTTTCCTAGATTTCACTAAACACACACTAAGTCTAACACAAGATAAAAGGAAGAAACCTTATTCTGACTGTAATTGACCTATGTAAGTTGTAACTCCCTCGCATAAACAGAGTTGCATAGGAATAAAATCCATCTCTAAACCTTTAGGAATGCAAACCCATAAACAGCTTAGGTGGTGATCAATTTTTATCTACACAGTTAAAGTGCCACTCTGAGTTACAAGCATAACAGATCACCAGTGCAACATGCTGAATTTGTTACACTTAAACCTGCGATTAGTATCTACACTCAAGAAAAGGATAGCTCAAGAAAAACTGTACAGTTTGTGAAATAACAACTTGATAATGTATTTGATACATAACTTTTAATTGTTTATCATTTTAGAGCTTGCTAACTTGCACTATTGAAATGCAGTCCTACTGCAAATTCCCAAGAAACATAAATTGATGACAAAATATGTAGTACCTAGATCCTAAAAAACAGATTTGAATTCCTAGGTCAGATCACTCAAAATATCACGTTAAATGGGAATTGACAAATGTTTAATATACGCAATTTCTCATTAAATGAACATCAAGATTGTGCAAATGGGTGTTTATTGCCGACACATACGTAGCACCCACATACTCTCATTCATTTTGCTGCAACTTTTGTATATTTTAACAAAGCACTCAGTTGTAAAATTAACAAATATTTAACAACTTTGAATGCCAGGTTAATTCATTTATGTGCCTACCTTTATTTATCAAATTAGCTGAATCCACATAATCAGAATGGTTTAGGTCTCAAAACTTGACTGCAAGGGGTAAATCTTTGGATCAGTGTGTATTTTTACCACTGACTGCCTTTGGAATTAATCTGGTCAGTTGGCAACATTGCCGTGTGCCACCGATCTTCTGGCTGTGGTAACAGACCAGAAACCAAAAACAACAAAAATAATCTTTTTAAAATATCTAGTAACATGATCGAGTATTTATTAAAACGTCAAATTCTTTCTAGCTTTCAGCATGTACATTAATCCTAGGAGAAAAACAAAGAAGCTTTTTCTAACTAAAGTTTACCTGTGTAAACTGAAAAGGAAACATTCATCAGATATAACTCCCTGATGTGAGTAGAGTAGCACTAATTTCAATATTGCTGAAATTCATGAAGTATTTCAGATATTTTTTATTCCACTATCAACAAATAACTAATGAACTCTAATTATCAGGCTATTTCTGCATTTCATCAGATGTACATAATGATTTTTTTCTAGACCCAAATCAAATCCGGGCCAACATAACACAATTCCTACCATTTGTTGTGCTAAGGTTCTTAGAAGTATCACAATGTGTCCAGACTTAAAGAAGAGAGAAATGAGAAATCAAAGTTCTTGACATTATTATTATTTCTGTAACAGATTTTAAGGAATGTCATTTAGTTCCTGATAACAAGTGACGAGACTGGTAGATTCGACTGATCACTGTAATGGAGAAAGAGTAACTGGATTCAGCTGTACTGTGTAATAAAGATAAATACTTTCTTACACATCTTCCACTCGAATTCGCTGGTAATCAGAAAGAATGGCTCCCACAGAGACACCCTCCACTCCTTCCTCATCCTGAAAAAAATATAGGAAATGATAAAGTTGGCATTGTGTGCTAGTTTAAACAATCAAGATCTACTAATTCTATTACAGAACCAACCAAGAAGTACCTTGATATACATCTGGAACACAGATCTTCCATAGAAGAGAGCAGTACAGCTGCCTACCATGTGATTATTACTCTAACAAAGTAATCTAGTCGAATCTAGTATCACTCTACAGAAGAAATGGCCACTGTAACTGAAAAATATTGAATTTAACAGCTTATCCCAGAGCTTTCCTGACATAGTGAAAATTAATTCCAGCTCTTCTCTGTAACCGAAACATCAATTATTCCACCTACAAGTAAATATTAGCAACACACAATCACGACCATACTTGTTTCATTGTATGTTTCATATGCCACACTGCATATATATATCATATAGTAGGTGTTGAGATTACTATCCTAACCCCAGAGAAAAAGACACTTTCTAGCAACTTATTAAATTCTGCTAACAAAAGGGTTTTCAAAACAACATTCTCTTTAGAGTGGTGTTTCCATTTCACTTAAGCCATCTATTCTGTGTTTTTCTTTTAGATCCACTGAGAACACAATATTTGAAATTTGTACTTAAAATATTTCATGGTTGTTGCCCCCCCCCTTTTTTTTTTTTAAGCTCTAGTCACAAGCAACATGTTATATTTACTTTCTTTTACAAACATTTAGTCTGGTTAGACTTTAGTTATGGCCAACCTTTTTTAAGTAAGATTGACCATAACTATAAAGGAAGATCTATCTACCTTCGGAAGCTGCTCAGCAATCCTATGATGTTTGTAGCAAGACCGTACCAGAAAATTTTAACTATATACGTAGGTATTTACTTCAAAATTAAACTAGTCCTTCCCTGCAACATTACTGAATTGAAAATTCATCTTCAGTTTCTGGTCAGTAAAATACTTCCAAAGGTATTTTGTTCATAATTATCTTGTAGTGAACAATTTCCTATTTTATATCTATGCTGGACTAAAATATCTTTGCATTAATTCTCGAATTTCCCCAACCAAATTCCCAATTCATTCATATCCATCTGTACTTCTCAGTTAAGACTCTACTTATCAAAACTCCTAGCTATAATATTGGAAATTTGGTTATTGTCAAATGCTTGTACTTGTACACATCATAATGGATTTCTATATAACCAACGCCAAACCTGAGAGGATTCAAATATTCTGAAGAATACGGCTACAAATCTATTTTAGCTTATCTGTTGCTAGCTCACTATCAAATGCTTTTTTTTTTTTTTTTTTAAACTCACTACTATCCGACCATGCTACTTTTGCTTCCCTTCGAGTTTTCTGTGCAACAATGCTTCAAAGCTCTTCGCCCAGCAAAAGCTCTTTCCCAAGTAAAAGCAGTCAGACATTGCACTTCCCTCTGCTCTCCAAGAGAGAATTATACTTAAAAAAAAAAAACAAGTAACAGGTGTATGTAACTAGAAGTTTCATTAAACAGATGCTACCTCAAAATAATTCATGGAGCCTCCTGGGTCTTCAATACACCTAATACGTTTCCCCTGGGCTTCTTTGTTCCATGGAATTTTGATACACAGTTTCCCTGTACTGCATTTGTATTCTCCTTATGGGTCTAAGGTTCTTTTTAAAAATTATACCATTAAAACCCATAATAATCCTGTAAAGCATGACAGCTAAGTACTGTTTGTTCATATTTTTATGCAAGAAGAAAAAAAAAAACTCACTTTGGCTAGAATTACTGGTTCACAAAGCAATCTCCAATGTACAAATACTGCAGTTTAAATAAATGAATACAACTGTGAAATAGCATGAGCTCACCTGACCATCGTAACTGTGCCTTTATATCCTCTATAATATGTATACACCAATATACTCATGTCTCACTGAAGCAAATGGGCAGGACACTACCCTAAAAATACAGCTTGTTTCTTCACTTGCAACAAGTGTTTCATTGATGTACATTAAATTATTTTGGGATAATCATCTGTCCCCTGGTTAAATGAAATGCAACTCACTCCCATTAGCTAGTGTTCTCAAAGTATTCCATCACTCTTCTTGTGAGGTAACACACTTAAACTGAGTAAACTATTCAGGGAGAGGAAAAAAAAAATCACTGGCACATTTAGAATAGGCCAAGGTGCAGCAGTATCCATTTGGGAGCATTTGGATTGGATCTGCATTTTGGTTTGGACTGGCACCTGCACGCAGACCTGTTTGCTCCACACATCCCAGCACATAGCGGCACTTCAGAGAGGCCCCCAGGAAAGCTCCTTTTCCAGAAAGGATGAGAGAGTTTCCTCAATAGATAATGAAAGGCCATTATTCACATCATTCCATATTCACCCAAAACTTGAGCAAGAATCTTGGAAAGTTGGTTCCCCACCGTCAGCTGCCCACCAGAGCTTACAATAACACCAGCAACTATAACCAGTAAGCAGTTCCTTCAGTAAGATTTTGCTATAGATTTAAGTTTTGCATGCTTCAATCTACATGGCTACGCTAGCTTAAACAGAGAAAAGTGTGCCACAGTAAATAACACTAAACTATTTTTGTGTACCTATAATTATATGTATATAGTTATCCTCCAGACACCAAATGCTGTTTACTCCATAAGGTTCTTTTTTTTTTTTTAATAGGTGCAAAGTATATCTCCCCAAATCCTATTAACATCCACTAACATCTGAATTTTCTTACAATCCTGTGTTAGTTATGATGCAAAGATAAACACCCTCTTTTATCTCTGCAACTCGCAACCCGCCACCACAGCTGCAACCAACACAACCACCTCTTGGAGGTGCAATGAGAATCAAAATGGGAATCATTGCACCCGTTGGAGGTGCAAAGGGATCCACAGGATCAGTCCTAAAGTACATTAATAATTCTAATAGTGAGGTGTTTCAAAAAGAATGGGTAGAAATTTAGCTGACATGCTATCCAAGCTAAAATGTAGACGACATTTAACAGGCAAGAATAGGATGAATAGCCTTGATTAATATCCCTTAAGAGAGAAGAAAAAAAAAGTTTTGTTTAAATTAAAAACAATCGCATTTTAAAAGCATTCTATAAGAGAGACTCTCCCCACTCACAAATTAAAAAGATTAAGAAACTTTGGAAACAAGCTGAAGCAATGCAAGCAACTCCTGCACTGAAGTTTCCTCTCGGAGCTCTGAATTTTACCCTGCGGCAAATGCCAGCGTCTGCCACAGTGACTCGGGGAACTCTGTGATCTTCCAGCCCCAGCAAATAGACCCAGGTGACTACGCTTTGAAATCACACACATTTAAGGACTCAGCAGGAAAGGTCCCACTTAAAATACTCCTCTACTGCAAACAGTTTAAAAGTTTTATTGAATATTAGTAGTAGTAAAATTAATGTCAATATAGCCAGTAAAGGCCTTGAGTAAGGAGCTCCAGTGAACATATTTAGTGTGGGGATGGCAGACTGGCATCTGCAAATAAGTACCAGCTACCTGAAGTTAATGAGAAACCACGGATGCAAGTTTGAGAAAGTTGTGGGAGAAAGCTGTTCAGTGACATGGAAGGGCTTCCCCCCCACCACTCCAATTTTATTAATAAAAAAAAATACAAAAATTCTTAAGCACTATTTGTTAAAGTGATGTTTAAACTATGCAACACTATTAATGCTTTGCTAACTCAATGAATTATATTAAAATAAAAATAAATTACTACTACTTCAGTACCTTTAGACAATACCCAAAGCATTCTTTTCACCGTGATATCAATATACTTCCCAGTATAAGAATTGATATATGTATAATGCATACACACAGACACTCAACATGGATATTTACTGAAAGTAAAGAGTTGTTAATATCTTGTAAGACCTTTAAAAAAATCATTTTTCCCCGCTAGAACTATCAAAATTTCTCATTTTAAAAGGCAGACTTAAAAATGAAGTTTTAAAAAGTATCTAAATAACACAAAATTCTGAGCAGCAGCACAATTTTTTTATATAAAAGATAATTACTGTTTAGACTGTAAGTGAAATTACATTATTATTAGATTTTCTTGTTAGAACCATTTACACATTTCTACTCATAACATTCATGAAGAATGATCATCATTAAGAATTGTGGTGGAAAAACACATAGATCTGTGCAACTGTAATTGTATGAAAATGGATAACTTTTTATATATTAAAATAGTGTAACGAATAACACAACTCAAAGTTACTGTTCTATTCATATCACAGATAACTTTCAGCTACATTTTCTATCAGAAAATGCATAAAAATTAAACAGTTTTGTGAAAGCTGCAAAGCATAAGTGGCTGAGTATGCCTTCACCAACTGTTAAAAGTGTTTGTATAGCATACATGTAAAATATTGACGTAGTAGAGTATATCTTATACAAAATATAAGCAGAAACTTAAAAGTAATATATGTTTGAGCAGCATGATTTCAAATTTGCCTCCCCGCCCCCACCCCAGCCTCTTTTCAGTGATTGATATTCAATTAAAGAGTGACCATAATTTGAGGAAATGTCTAAATAGAGGCTTTAACACACCATTCTGGCAGAAGGATTCTACTAGCAAGCAAAATATTTATCACGGAGATATTAGGACAGGAGTTTTGTTAAATTTCACATTTTAATGTCTCTACCTGACCCTCTCAGAGTTCAAGAAAAAGATTAGTGATAATGCTTTCAATTTAATTACTTTATTACATGCGCTGTAATTATTAGTGCGAAATGTTACATTAATGAATATAAAAGTTAGCAGTAAATTACCTCGTAGTTATTATCAATTTCCCAAGCTACTGCTCCTTAAGATAACCCTCTCCCTACGGTCCTTCCGGTAATTTTTCTTTCCCTGGTAAACATGATGATTAAACAGCACACAGTGCAAACCTTTGATACTTTTTAAATTAAATCCATGCTGAGCCTAAGGGCTGTGTCTGATTTCAACTAAATATGTCAGTTAATCAGATAAAAAATTATCAGTAGCCCAAAGAAATGGCAGCCTTAGGCCTCATCAGTGCCA